ATATATACATTCCCATCCATAAACATTAGAAAATTAACTCTCCAATTTCTTACGATTTTTATACTTAAAACTCCACCAATTTTTAATTGAAACTTGTAAAATTATTAAAATGTTAAAGGGCTTTCAAACGCAATATTTGCTCTTTTAGCTTATTTTACTAGAACAAGATGATTAAGGAGAAAATAATTGAATAAGCTAAAAATAAAATACAATTATGAGCAGATAAATGATTAAGAATTAATTTGATTAGTAAAATGTAATTTAATTAATTTACGAGATATGCTAATAATTTAGTTTTCTTATAGAATAATGTAAAAAGTTCAAGACTTAAGAAATTTTACTAAAGAATAGCAAGAATAATTACTATAATTGAGTTTAATCTTAATGATAAATGCATGATGTTTATAAAAATTAATTACAATCATCTCTTTGAAAAATCTCCCCAACTATATCCATATTTCTGCATATGCTTAAGATATTTTTTAAAAGTTATGATCATAACTAAAATGAAATAGCTAAATAAGAAAGGCCAATAAACAGGAAGATCAAATATTTAAAAGTATGTTGCAAAATTTGAAAGGAACAGAGCAAAGATTATTTATTCCCACAATTAAATTTCTGGCATAGATCTAATTAGAGGTCTGTCATCATTATGCTATGGGAGTTAGACTTAATGGGATATTTGAAAGAATTACTATTTACATCTTCATCTTCATCTTCAATATCAGGAAGCCCTAGTGGTGTAAAATATCTCAATAAAGATTAAATTATTTAAATTCCAAGCATATACGATACAACAAAATAACTTTCTGTTTGAATAAGTCTGCTAAAATAAAAAAAGAGTAATAAGGCACATAATGCCCATCTTTTTCCTGGATGCATAATCCATCTATAAATTTATCTATAGAATAGTACTTGTCTATGATCCTTCTGTATTTCATGGAATATTTATGATATAATCTAGTGTATACAGGATCAATTTCAGAATTCATTTGAGTTTATTTAATTAAAAATGTATTTGAGATTATTGTATTGAATCAATAATATTAAAAAGATTATGTAGAATAAGGAAAATTATAAATGATGGTTAATTTAATAACAACATTTGAATGTTTTCAAAAAACTTGTTATTAATCATTTTCTTATCCATATTATGGGGCATTGTCTTGTTTTTAATTAATCGCAGACTTTACATTTTCATAACCACTTGTACTTAAGATAGGTGGTAACAACTAATAATCAAATCCTCCTCCGCCACATTAAGCATAATCCAAACCTTTTTCTTCCTCTTCTGGAGTAACATTTAACAATCCTAAAATCTTTAGTATAAATATAACAATAGCATGCAATACTATTGACCAACCTAACCAAACCACAGTGCCTAATAGTTGAATACCCCATTATTTAGCACCATGTCCATATAAAATTCCTTTTTCCGTATTAAACCATCCTGGAAATTGAGCACCAATTAGACCGCAGCCTCCATGTATTGGGAATGCATCAACTGGATCATCGACCTTAAATTTATGTATTAAGATTCCAAATCCCCAATATGTTAATCCTCCCAAAATTCCAATTACAAAAGCTGCCCATAATTCAATTCCATCACAAGACCCTGTTACTGCAACCAGTCCCGCCAAATTTCCATTACAAATCATTACTAAACTGAACTTACTCTTCTCATTTCTATTTTTATAGTAATGTAACACCATTAATGTTAACCCTCCTGAAGCTCCAGCGATGATTGTATTAGTTGTAGCTCTTCCTGATGCATAAGCCATTGTACCTGACAAAGCAGTAGTACTTCCAGCATTGAAGAATATCCAACATGTATAGAGTGAAAGAGTAGATAAACAAATATATGTCGTGTTGCTCGGATTAAATTCGTTTGCATATTTCTCATTCCATCTATTTTTCCTTGCTCCTAACATTACTGTTAACACAAGTGCTCCCAGTGCAGACATAAAGTGGATTGTACCACTTCCAGCTAAATCAATGTATCCTAATTCTTGAAGCCAACCTCCTCCCCAAGTCCAATGAGCACAAATAGGATAAATAAAAGAAGAAAATGCTATGCTCAAAAAGCAATAGCCAATAATTGACATTCTTTCGACTGCTCCTCCAGATACAATGCTATTAGCAGCTGCTCCAACTGATGTTTACAAGACTTGTAGATAATAGGTAATTTTGTACCCCAATGAGAATAATGCTTAGTTCCAGTAAAATTACTTCCAGCATAGTAGTCTGTCCCAGCAAATTATCCAGAACCCATGCAAATTCCATAACCAACCTTAAATATCAATTTTTAAATTACAAGCCACCAGCAAATGACAGCAATACATGTATTTAGATAGACTTTAATCATAATTGATTACATATTTTTATATCTGACACATCCACCTTCTAAAAATGCAAATCCAAGTTGCATCAACAAAACCACAATTCTAATCTTATCATTAGTAAATACCCTGCAAATTATGTCCAAAAATAGTCTATCGTATTTTCTAACAATCCCAATTTGTCTTCAACTGAAAAATCTGTTGACATATTAAAATAATATATCAAAGTTAAATTTTAATTCAATAAGGATCAATACACAATAAAATAATAGATATAGTATAAAGATCAATATTACTCAATGACCCTTGCTAATAATTTTATCTGAAACGACATATAATTTAAATTATAATTGGGAAATTGTTTGTACAAAGCCAAAAAAGAATTCTAATAAGAGAATCAAAGCCCTGGAAAGGATGCTTTGAATTTATATAAATAGAAGTAAAATTAAAAGATGATACTATAAATGAGCAAATAAAGAATGGAGGTACGATGTTGGAATAAAATTCGAAATATGCATCAAAAGTTATCTAAGGTTAGGATATTGTATGAATCTTTTATATATATATTAGCAAATCAAATTAAGAAATGAAAAAAAGGTTAAGAAATTCGAAAATGGGATGTGATAAAAAGATGACTTTTTGGAGAATGTAGAAAAACTAGAAAAGGACAAGAAATCTAATGATTAGTAGATTATTTTGACAGCTCTTAGTTAAGAAAATTTAATTAATTAACTAAAATTTAAATTGAAAAGATTGTTGCTTAGATTTAGACCATAAATTATGAGGCAAATCAAAAGATCTACATAGCTGATTAGTAATGTGATAAATTGGTTATAGTATTAAAAGGGAAGCTATGCAATGTAAAAATATTAAATATTTAAAATTAAGAAGAAAAAGAGATAACTACTAATGGATAAATAGTTGGGAATCAATTTTTGCCTATAAAAAAATGGAGACAAATTAGTAACTTATGATATTTTTTTTTAAGAAGGAGGAAAGGTGGCACAAGTATTGTGGGCTATGAGTAAAATGTTAATTAATTTTGTAATTTCAGAATGAGCAGATTTTGATGATAATAAATGTTTACAATATAATTTTTATCTTATAATTTTTTTTGTTGAGTAGATTTGAAAATTTGAAAAGTAGTCTTGATTAATTGATTAAAAATACATTTTGATGTATTTTTAGAATGTATATAAATTTATTTACTTTTTAATTAAAGGGCTTGGAACTTTTTGATGTAATTAGAGATATAGAATTACTGAATGCTTATGATTCATAATTTTATATTTCCTCCCTATTACTCTATATGGAATATCTGTATACTCTCCACATTGTTTACAGAGACATTGAACTAGAAAATGTGATGGTAGATTATAAGGGATATATTCATTTGATTGATATTGGGACAGCCAAAATTTTAAAAGGGAAGGGTTACTATTATAGCTAATCCTCATTACATGGGTCCAGAAATTTTAGATGGAAAAGGTAGTTTAATTATAATGTATTAGGGTTATTCATATTTAGTGGATTTGTGGAGTATCGGAATCTGCCTGTATGAATTTATGTGTGGAGGAGTTCCTTTTGCTGAAGATGCAGAAGACCCTTATAAAATATAGGTGAAAATTACAAAGAACAAATTTCATATCCATATCATTTTAAAATAGAAAGGCTAAAAATTTTATCGATTTGTTATAAAATAGGACCCCGTAAATTCCTATAGGATGTAGTTATGTAGCTTTTGAAGGCTAACATTTGGTTTGATGGATTGGATTAGGTATTTGTGATACAACTTAAGAAGATATAGTTTTATATCCTATTAAATCAATATTCTAAAGGTTTTTCTAAATTTATTCATCCATAAAAATAGTATTATAAATTAAATTAGATCAACGATTTCATTCATTTTTGCTAATTTTAATGTACTATAATATAGGATATACTGATGGATAAAGAGTTGAAGCCTCCTTAATTCAACCTAAGGATAGGCTAATTTGGGACAAAGAAATTGTAACAATTGAGAAGTAAAGTAAGATCATATAGGGTGAAATCAAGATTGTAAGATATGAGATTAGGTTTAGGATATTAAAGAGAAAAATTCATATAAGAAGGAATTAGCAACAGATCTTAATTGGGATGAGAAATTTAATTAATGATTAAATATTATTTATTATAATTAATGATTTATTATTGATAGTATTACGTCATGGTAGAGCGTTAAATTATGTCATTAGAATTTAATTAATAAACAATTTATGAAATCCTAATAAAATAAAATTCAATGAAATCTGCATTAATTATACTTATAGGGTTGTTGAGTGCTTTTACTTATTTGAATTAAGAAGAAAATGATGGTCATATTGAATTTTAGAGTTGGAAAAAAGAATATGGAAAATCTTATACAGGACAGCAAGAGGTTTTCAGATTCTTTAATTTTAAAATTAATCTAAATAAAGTAAATAAACATAATTCTGATAAAAATAAAACTTATACGATGAGAATGAACCAATTCAGTGATATATCAGAAGAAGAGTTCTCGTTACTTTATCTAACTCATTATATTTCTGATGAATTTATCGAATAAAAATAAATTACTGATGAATAAGAAAGTTCAATTAAAAAAAACGATAAAACTAAAACTTCAGTTGATTGGAGAAAGATAACATAAGTAAAAGATTAAGGATAATGTGCCGGATGCTGGGCTTTTGGTGCAGTAGGAGCAGCAGAGGCTTGGTTTTATGTTAAAAATAACACGTCTGTTGTATTGTCAGAATAACAATTAATTGATTGTGATACTCAGTCTTTTGGATGCAATGGAGGATATCAAAACCTAGCCTTGAAGTATATTGCTAATCATGGATTGAATGATGCTAGAGTATATCCTTATACTTAGAAATAATCAGCAACTTGCTTCTAAAATTCAGGACCTTATAAAACTAATGGAGCTTAAAGTGTAAGTTCCAATAATGTTAAGTAATTTTTGACAGAATATCCCCTTGTTGTAGTAGTAGATGCCTCTAATTGGTAATTTTATGGAGGAGGGGTCTTTAAAGATTGTAGTAGATCTGTAAATCATGCTGTCTTAGCAGTTGGATTTGATGAGAATGATAATTGGTTTATCAAAAATTCTTGGGGCACTTCTTGGGGTGAAAAAGGATTCATGACTCTTGCCCCTGGAAATACTTGTGGTATTACTTCTTATGCATACAGAGCTATCTGATATTTATAATTAATAATCTTTTAATAGTAATTATATGTTTAATTAATTAAATTGGAGAGAAAAAAATGCTATAGAGACACTTCTAAGTTTGCATGAGGAATCTTAAAACGAAATTGATTATGATAAAGAAATGCAACGCTTATTCAAACCTCGAGAAAATGCATTGATTCATAATAATAGCTATATTGTGTAAAAACCGAGATCTTAACTTCTCAAACTCATTTGTCCAAAATCAAATTCAAACTAACACTTTGAGTTTAGAGGTAGGTCTTTAGAGAAATAGTCAGAAAGAATAATTGTTCCTGATCAGTACAGACCAAAATATTTATTATAATAATTAAAAACTCAAAGGAATCTACGGCATGTATCAGAATATCGTACAATAAATGTACCAACAATTTAAATTGTTCAATCTCTCTAAACCATAAATCTGATTGAAAGAACAGGTATAACTTAATAGAAGAAATTAAGAAAAAAGGATGTTCAAGTACCAAGATTTATTTTGAAATCAAGATAAAAACTATGACGACAATAGTTGATAACTTATTTATAGCTATCAAAAGTTTTATTTCTTTTTTCTCTCATAAATTGGTGTTTTGATATCTTCAAAATCTTAGGAATACAAATCCTTTGATTATGATTTTGATTATTTTGATTGTTTGCTTTTTGATCTTAAAATTCTTTTTCTTTCCAATTCTTTATCATATGCAGCAGTATTGTTGTCTAAAATAAATTATAATCAATATTACATTCTTCTGCATCCTTCATTCCTGATTAAACCCAAGGAATAGGTGGTTTAGATTCTCTTAATGAAACTTCCTTCATTTTAATAGATTCTTAAAGACTTTTCAATTTGCTATCAGTTGGTTCTAAATCTAATAGAAGATAATTATGAGAATATGGACAATCCTTTTATCCCTTCTTACATCTACCATCTTTAATGAATTCTGGACACATCTTCATTGATAAATCTTTGACTTTGCTCTTAGCTTTTTAATCTTCTTTATCTTCAATCTTATTAATTTTCTATTTCATCAATTATATATCGTTTAAATTATCCTATAATTTTTATTCTATTTTCTTGTAGAGGAATTCAATTTGTCTATTAATAAATTATCTGGTATCAGGTTCAGGATCAGCATCAAGATGAGTCTATTTAGCATACATATATAATTTTTATGCTTCTTATTTATCATCAGGATTCAATTTAACAGTTGATTCATAAACTTATTTAATTGTTACATCAGTGTCTGGATCAATTTGTAATTATTTCTTTAGATTCAATTAACTAGCTTCAAATTCTTTTTCTTATTCTTCAATTTCTTATTTAACAATTTCAATTGCTTTTAATATAACTTCAAATGCTTCTGAATATCTTTCTTTATTATACAAAGCATTAGCTCTACTTAGACAACTTAACTTAATGTTATAATTTTTAGCTTCTTTTTCTTCCATTTTTCTTCTTTCCTTAAATTTAGGTCTCTCTTTTATTTTCAAATAAGCTTTTTTTGCTTTTCTTCTTAAAATCTCTAAAGTTGCAATATTCTTTTTTTTCATGGCACATTCTGAACACAAAGCCTTTTCAGAACAACCAATACATAATTTCATTGTATTTCCAGCAGGATTCCATGCTTTAATGGCTGAATTACCTCCTAGTCTTTCAGTGACTGCTTTAAGAGTGCCTCTTAGAGCAGTTTTTCTTGCTCTTAATTCTTACCGGAATCTCAGTTCATAAGGATGATGAGCAAACATACATTCTGCTCCAATAGGTGTAACACCTGATACATTTGAGTTTGGCCATCTTGTTTAAATTGAAGGACAATCCTATCCTAATGGGCACATTTAATCTTTAACAGTTAATTTGCGTAAATCATAAGATTAAGTTTTACTTAGAGCTTATAATGAAGTATAGTAGTGAGAATCCTATTTTAGCATTCTTTTAAGATTATTCTATGATTAGTATAATTAATCTTCATAAGATTCTAATTACTTAATAAAAAGATAAACTTCTAATAAGAACTTATATTCAGGTTTATTTTAATAATCAGGTTCCATTAATTATAAATTTTCATGTGGTACTTTCTTTAATTCATCTTCATCTATGCCCATATTTTATGCATTAAAAATTGGATGTGGTTTTGGCTATTTCATTTTGACTTCAGGATCTCTAAATATCAATTTAAGATCTCTTATATTAAAACTAAGAGCCAATAATTAATAAGATTTTCTATAATCTCCTTTTCTATAGAGTACTTAAGATCTCTTAAAAATACCAAATCTATATATAGACGGTACTTTTTTGAAATTTTCTCCAAATTATGATAAGAAATGTTTTAATGATCCACTTTTACCTACATTACTTTAAGCCCAATTATGAGTTTATAAAATAACTTTTTTTAATTTTTCTGGCATTCTATAACAAACTGCAGGTTAAAATGTGCATTCTTTAGCATCTGAAAATGTCATCATAATATTGCATCTTTCAGATTAATAATTATCAGAATCCCAAACTGATGTTTTTGGTCTATCTGCAAAGAGTTATGCTTCTTTTACTAATCGACTTTAACCAATTACTCTTTGATTTAATGTCTATTTTGTACATCCAGGTGGACATAATGAATCTTTATGAACTACACACATACTCTTTCCATTAGTTGGTACCCAAAAACCTATTCTATTAGTTTCATCTTTAATATAATCATATTTTCTTCTAACATAAGATTTCATCATTCCAAAAAAATATCTCTTTAATGAACTAGGAAAGGATTTCTTTCTTAATTTTTTACTTTCTCCATATTTTAAATGTGGAAAGTTTTCTTTTGTTGCATCTTTATGTGATATCAACATTTATATATACATAGTAGATAAATATTCATTAATTGTGGGTACTTTTTCTTCAAATCTCTTTTTTCTTAATTCTAAATACTTTTTAGCCATTTATTCTATATATTTATTAAGTTTGAATTCTGCTTATCTTTTCTTTTTTCTTTCTTATTCTTCTTTTCTTAATGCAGTTTATTTTTCTGAATAATACATCTCCATATGTTTTTCAAATAAATCAGCTATTTCATCTATTTTCATTTTTGCTGGTACTTCCATTTCTTCTAAGGTTATCACACATCCACCTTTTTATGAAAGATGTCTCATTTTTTGTTTATTTTCTTCATCACTATCAACAACATCATATTCTTAAGGATATTTAGCCACTTTTGTATCACGAAATTCTTATAATAACATTTTCCTCAAGATTTTATCATTAGGATACATTTTCTTTAAATCCAATAAAGTTTTTCCTACTTTTAATCTATCTTTAGGTTTTGCTATTTCAGTTACTCTTTAATAATTAATTTCAGTTTTCTTTTTTTTCATACTCTTTTCCATTTCTATTTTACGTAAACCTAAATTAACATCTTCTTAATCTTTTTTCATTTATAAATATTGAGTCAATAGAGTTTTTAAATTTTCTTCACTTTCATATGTTACAATCTCTTATTTAGAATTTTATAGGGTTTATCTCCATATTTTAATAATATCATCTACATTATCAGTATAAAATCCTTTAAATTTATAAAATTGATCATTTATTATTTCCATTGAATCTTAAAAATACAAATCAAAATCATCACCTTTACCTTCAGGTTTATTATTTTATATTTCACTCCAATATTATCTTAATCTATCTGGATATTTAAAATTTTTATGATCTGGATTTTTTGCTTTATAATGTTAGATTACAGCTTCAACAAATTACTCTCTTTATTTCTTTTCCTTTGTTTTTAAGTCATCTTCTTATTAAATTAATGGTTTAGGAAATAATCTATTCAAAACTTCTTTGCTCATTTTCTTATTTTTCTTTTCTTAATTTTTTTTTTATTGTAACAATTATGATTGTCTCTCTTCTATAAATTTACTGATATTTGCATTTTATTCTTCAGCATCACCAAATTATTTTAATGTGTATTGAACATCTTTCTCATTAGCTTAAGCATAAAAATGTAAATTTCTTTTATGTTCTATTTGTTTCCTCATTATCTCCTAATATATAATAAATTTATGAATATACATTTTCAGGTTCTTTTGCTGGTTTCTTTGGAGGTGGTTTACCTGCTTATGATCTTGCAGTCACCTTCCATAAATCAAATAATGCTTTATCTGAATAAGTTGTTACCTTTCTGGTATTTCGATATTCATTCTAAGAAGTTAAAAAATTAATATACTTAGAGTGTAATGAATAAGTCCTTTCCTAAATTAGTTGGTTAGTAAACTTCTGGAATGACAGGTTATCTTGATGATTCAAAATCATTTTGATATCCTTAAGTTTATTCAAAATAAGATTGTTGTTCTGGAAATCTAATAAGTATTTATTAGACATTTACTCTTATAAGAGATCAACTCCAGCAAAATTATATTGCTTATGCATAATTTAAAATTCTGTTATTAATAATATTAGCAAGAATATATTGATATTATTTAATATATTTTTAGAATACAGTAATTTATTTCTTAATAATTTAAAGATTATTTTAATTATCATTTGTATATATAATCATGTACTCTAATCAAGTTTAATATATCATATGGTTTTTTCTTACTTTTCATTATCAATTTTTATTCAATAAGAAGAATTAGTATCATTAATTAAAATGCTATTTAATATTTCAAAGATTTTATCAACTAAGTAACTCTTATATTGGTTTATTTAATATAGGAATTAATATATCTCTTAAAATTCTATAAGATATAAACAATTAAAAATTAATAAAATATTTTAAGAAAATTTCAGACCAATTTACAGTATTACATATATTTACTATAAAAAATTGTAGATTATAAAATAAGATTATAATTATTTGCAATTTGAGACACAGGAGCTATGGTTAAATTAATAACATTTTTCATGACAGTATTTTTCAAAATAAAATTAATGATTACATCTTAAATTAGAATAATTAGAAACCAAATATGATAATTGTTATTATATATCAATCAATTAAATAGCATTTCATGTGAATAAATAATATCACTATTAAGAAAATCAAAAAAAAAACAACAAACAAATAATATTGTTTAACTTTGATTAAATTCAGATTATATCTATTTATTTGTGTTTCGTTTATCTCATATTTGTAGTGAAATATAATTAAGTTAAATAATGGATGACTTTTTTGAAGATGTAACAACTTAGGTTGTTCCTTCTGATGCCTCATAGTTTGATTAAGGTCAATTTTAATAAGCTTAAGTATGAGAAATGTCATATGTTAGTATGATGTATTTAGTGCTTTTTCAAATGAAGCACCTATTTAATCTTAGCAATAAGTTTTCATTGTGGTACTTATTCATTCAAAAATAGAGTCCAGAATAATAGGTAAGAAAGGATAAATTGAAAATAATTGAAGAGGAAAGACTTGCTCAGATAAGAGAGATGGATTAACAAGAAAGGATATTGAAATAATAAAAAAAATAAAAAGGTCAAGAATATTTGCAATAATTCAAAAGGTAAATTTGAAAATTATATTAAATAGTTAATAAGTATAGGATATTGAATAAAGAAAAGTGTTAAATAAATAGAAATAAGAGATTTGGTTTGAAAATAAAAAGAATCATAGTTAGTATGTAAGATAGTAAATCTATATAAGAAAAATTCATGGGATTAAATTGCATCCAATATAGCTTTAAAGGATGGTGAGTATCCAGGATAAAAGGATGTGACAAAAATGAGATAAGCAATTCTTAACAAGAGAAATGATTTGAACAAGTGAAACCAAGATTTTATAATATCAATATATATTTATAATGCTTATTCTTTTATCATTTTCTTTATAAGTAATCTATATACTATTCTATAAATGAAGGGATAACAATAATTAAAATTTTTTTTATTTATTATTTAATTGCTATTTATTTATGTACAATTACAGATTTGAATTTCTAAACAATTAAGATTCAATTAATCATAATATAGGGAGTGTGCATTCCAAAAAGTAGTCTGAATTTTTCTTAATTAAATAGTTAATTTAAGTATTATTAATGGTTTAATAATTAATTCAATTTATTAACTCCTAAAAGCAAGTTTTAAATCTTACAGTACTCTCTCCTTTTTTTGACATAGAGAATCTCTAAATTCCATTTAACAAATATGGCTAAATTATATATTAAAAGACATTTTTACCTAAATTTAATTTAAATGAAATCATCTTAATTTATTTTAGCATATATTATTAGCATGGAGGATTTTAAATCATATTTTTATCTATTTTGTTAATTTTAATAATTATTTAAAATAATCAAATACAAACAGATAATTAATTAGATTTTTTATATATTTTGGGTTTGTTAGAGCAAAATTTGATTATTGATTTTAATAGAAATATTTTTATATAATTGACTAAATTTGTTTTTACTGAAATTCAAAATTAAATTCTTCGTTTGAAACCCTTTAATTTTAATGCTGATCTCACTAAAATGAAGAAAAGAAAAAGATATAGATTTAATTTCAAGTATCCGAAATACCTATACTTCAATTCTCTTGATCTAAAGATATCCAATTGGGGATTTTGTTTTAATGTAAATAAAATGAAGTTGGGGAGGGGATTTCTCCCTAGGGTTGGGATCAGAGACATGTGGGGTTGAAAAACAAATCATATTCTTTTCTATAATTAATTTGTTATGAGATAAATTTAATAGAAAAAGAGGAAAGATGAAAATTCTTTGAATATATATAATGAAATGAATGTTAATAATTAATAATCATGTTGAAAAATTCCTATATATATTACACTGATTCATTTTATATATTCAAATAATTTTCACCTTTCTTTATTACTATTGCTCTGAGATCTCAACTGCAAAAGACATGTGAAGATATAAATGGATTCTTTAAAATAAATACTTAAATTTCAATAATATCTAAGATATAATTGGTAATTATACTATACCTTTTATTATCTTCTGATTTAATAAAATTTTGCTAATTATTATTTAATTGATAAGTAGCTTAAACCTTTTGATATAATTATTAACTGTGTTTGGTTTTAATTTATAATAGCACTTAGTAAAAATGATAAAGACGAATAATTTTAGATTTTAAATTAACGATACTTAACTTGTAATAGAAATTAAATAAGGAGTTAAAAGAAATGGTCTGTAGATATCTAGTATTTGAAATATAGATTAATTTCAATGATGATTATAGTTTTATATAATTTAATTAAGATTGTCTGTGTTGTTATTCGTTATATAATTTGAAAAGGATGGTTGTAAGAACCAATAAATCTTAAATTTATATCATATAAGTCAAGTAGAAATTGTAACATTATATTGTATTAAAAAGGCGCCAACTTAAATTGGTAAAAGAGTGAGATTGGAACAAATATAATAATAATATTAAATCTTAATTTGTGAATGTAAGGAAGACGTAGCCAATAATCGAAATCTACTGCTGAAGATAATTTAGATTGTAATGGAAAGCAAGTAATATCATTGGGTAAAGTCATCAATACCAATGAAGATTAAAAATAATAGAAAACAAAGAAGCAATAAAAGGAAGTATCAACTAAAAAACAGAACTCAACCAACACTGAAGAATTATCTGGGGTAAGTATAAAGGAATGCTAAAATGGAACATATAATTTAAGATAGTATACTCGAAGAAATTATTTGGATTTTGGGAGTGAAGCAGGTGGAGATGACAACAATGATATAGATTTTGGAGTGAAAAAGCAATTAAACAAGGAGAGAAAGAATAGTGATTTAGATATCAACGAAACCATTGAATATGATAAATTACCAAAAAATAAGTAAGGATTGATAAAACTGTTATCCAAAGTAGAAGCTAGTATTGAATCTTAAAAATTGGAATGGTTTAAAGAGTATTCAATACATTCTATTTAAAAAATAGATAAAATGAATTACCAACATTGACTAGTTCTGTACCTGAGAATTCAATACCCATAAATGCTGATGTCTTAACATTTAACTTTAAATCTTTGATAGCTTCCCAACAAAAGATAGCAGGCAAATTATTTGATGGTATTATTTTATATTATACAATTAAGCAATTATGATGGATCCACCTTGGTAATTATCAACATCTTAACCATCTAGAGGAGTGGCCATTGCATATCAATCACTTAAAGATGATTAATTAATGGAATTACCTATTCCTTTATTACAAAAGGAAGGTTTCCTCTTTATATGGACAATTAATGCCAAATATCGAATTGCTGCAAAAATGATGAAATAATGGGGTTATCAATTAGTTGATGAATTAATATGGGTCAAAAAGACTGTTAATGGTAAAATAGCTAAAGGACATGGGTTTTATTTGTAACATGCTAAAGAAAATTGTCTTATTGGTTATAAAGTAATTTAATTATATATTCTAGGGCAATAATAAATTAAATTATTACTTAAAGAGTGATGTTATCTGGAGTGAAAGAAGAGGATAATCTCAAAAACCTGAAGAAATCTATGAAATTATTAACGCCATGGTTCCAGGAGGTCATTGCTTAGAAATCTTTGGCAGAAGAAATAATCTTAGAAATAATTGGGTAACTATTGGAAATGAATTATGATTTCATATATAATTTTGAGTAATATTCAACTAAATTCTATATAAATTTAATATTGATAACCTATTTCTTAAATTTAATTTTAATAATCAATTTAAATATTATGATTTTTATTGAATTTGTTAGGATTAGCAATATTAGTTGTAATCTATAAATTATGATATATCAATTGAATGGTGTGAATAATAGTTTTTATTAGAGTTTTAAGCCTTGGTTTTAGATTTTATAAAATAAGTCTCATAAATTATACAGAGTTAATTCATCAACTATTCCTATTTATGATATCTTATATAAGATAATAGGATTAAATCTAGTTTTTGAAATGAATCTAAGATTTATCTTATAAAACATTAATTAAAGTATATATTTTATAAGATAATGATAATTTAATTTTATTTATATCAGAATATATAAAGTTTATATAAAAATAATTCATAAATTCATATTCAACCTACACTCTATTTTTTTGCTAAATGAATTTTAGTATAAGAATCATTTCTTTTATTAGGTTTTTTAAATGGGGGTGGACTCAAGATACTTTTTGAATTTTCTTTTAATTTTTCTTTGTTAATATTCTGTTAAGGACTTGTATAAGGTTTAAATGGGCAATTCTAGATTTCTTAATTTAGTTTATGTTGATTTTTAACTTTATTTGTTTATTTTATTTAATTTAACCATCTTATTTATCTTTCATAGAATTCCTCTTTTTTAGTTGGTATTTGATGATGTGAAACATGTTTAATTGCCATTTTCTACATTATCTTATCAACACTTGGAACTTGTTTATTTGCAAAATAATTTCTAGGACTTGAGCGAGCAGATGATTTGAATCCGTTTTGAGCTTAATTAATGATATTCAAATCTAAAGGCATGAATATTTTAGATTTTTGTCTCTCTTTTTAAGCTTACAGAAGGTTCGAAAAGTTTTAAAAATGTAAGTTTAATGGTAATGCATAGGTCAATTTAGGTTCATTTTCTTCTTCTCCTATTATAGCATAATCATGTATGAACTGCATATGACAAATTTTTAACAACTATTATTTTTATATATAAAATTATATTTCTTATGGTCATTAAGATAGTATTTTTTCAAGTTCTTCAAGATCATCAAATTCATGTTTGAGTGGAAGCTTACCAAGCCAAGCATCCTATTATTTCTAACATTTAGAGTCTTATTTATTACACTCAACTAGGTTTGTTTAATTTATTCAAATTAATTATATATTATATATATACTATAGTATTATTTAAATTTTTAAAATCTAAAATTAAATGATTATCATTTTCATCTAAAAGAACTATTGATTCGTCATAAAACTTGAGTCTTTTAGGTTGTTCTAATTGATATAAAAATTATTCTAATTCATCAATAAAATCTTGATCATTAACTATAGTTTTCTTCATTGGAGGTCCTGGATTATATTTACTCATCAAGTCGAATAGATGTATCTAGTTTATGCTTTCATTAATTCTACTTTAGTTAACTAAAGAATGAAGTAATTAATTATTTTAAGTTTCATCTTGATTTTCCATTATATATAATATTAATTAATTAAAAATCATCCTTTAACTTTTTTTATTTTTTTTCCCTCCAAACATAAATTTAATCCAACTGATGCAGGCTTTTCTAAAACAGATTTGGCTTTGTATATTCTTTTGAATTTTCCAGTATCACATTTCTTATCATTTTCTCTATCAATAACTACTTTAATTAAATCTTCAGAAACTTCTTTAACTAACTTTTCAGTTACATGCTAATTATATAATATGAATATAAATACAGTAGAATATGAAAAGTCTGGACTACTATTAATTTCGATTAACCAAACATGAAATTTATCATCTATCATAAAATCATATCCTAAAATTTCATGAGAATTCTTTCTTTATTCTACTTAATCTTAAACACTTTATAATGACCATATAATTGCCTATTCAAATTAAGGTCTAATGATTTCCATGAAATTTACTTAATGAGTTTTCTAAAATTGTAAGTTCAATAGATTTTACCATTAAATAATCACTAAATTATTCTTAATTCCACATATTCCCTTCAATATCAGATTTATAAAAGTTTTCTCCTTTTTTTTAAATAGAATTATTTGTTAAATGAGACATTTTATTTTCTAAATCTTTAGGATCATATTCTTCAGCTGTAAAACGTAGATATGCTTCATCATAAATCCAAACAGTCAAGGGATTCCAATCAGTAATTAAAACCCATTATCTTATATCCATTTTCTTACCAAGCACAATTAATGGTTTTTCTATATATTTTTATATAATCCATTATGCTCCTTTAGATGCAACATGATCTTCAATTTCAACTAAATTTTTATAACATTGAATTCCTCTTCCTCTAGATAATCCAGCAGGTTTAACAATCCAGATATTTTCAACTCCATTTAAATAGTATTAAGGAAATCTATTTTTGAATTTTTATCTTAAATAAGATGAATAATTTACAAAATATCAATAATTTATTATGTAAATTCATCTACATCTTCAATTGAATCTTCTTATTCTTTTTCTAATTTACTTTTTTTTTTCTTTTTCAAAGGTTTAACTTCTCCAATTTTAGCTAACCAAGCTTAATGTTTTTTCTAAGCTAATGCTTAAACATTTAAATCATCTTTAGAAAGTATATCCCATTCCTTTTATGTAATTACTTAAGTCTACTTTTATTGATCAATTAATTCATTAATATCTTATAACATCTTCCTACATACTGATAATGCTATATTAGCTTATGGTTTTATTTTCTCAATCAAATTAGCATCTTTCTTTTTGAATAAATGCAAATACATTTTCAAAATAGCTTCAGCCTAAATATACAATAGAATTACTTTAGATAATTTGAATTCTTCTCTAAAATTTTCAAAATCTTCTTCATCAGATAAATCAAATGCTCTTGGATAGAATGTATTTTTATCTACATTATTAAACCAAATTAAATTATTAAGAGACTTACATAATCCAACTTTAGTAGTTAAACATATAATCTTAGCAAAATGATTAACAATCTAAAAGTCTTATAAATTATTATAGTCAATTTCTGAATTATGTAATGTGAATTTGAAATCAAAACATGGACTTCCACTATCTGGATTCTTAACCCATCCTCTTTATATTAATGCTTTTGCTATATCTCCATAACCACCAACCATTATGAACACTTTCACTGCATCATCTATACGTTACTTTTTCTTCCATTATTTCAAGTCTGTAATGAATGGATATTTCTTTAATTTAACTTTTTAAGTATCCTAATCATCTGATCCACTATCTTATTCTAATAAATCATCCTTCGTCACAAATTATGCTACTTCAGACAATTAATTTAAAACTTTCTATTTTACACTTTATTTAATAATCTCTTATCTTTAAATCATTTCTTCTTTCTTTTATTTTTCTTATAATTATCGTGTCTTTATAGATTCCAAATATCTTATATTAATTTATTACTATTACTATCTTTGTTTCTCTTAAATTCTCTATTTTTATTCCAGCATTAAGTCTTCCTTCTTTAAACTTGATTATCTGTTCTTACTTGATTCTGGAGTATTGATACTTGGCAAAGACACTTATTATTTAATTTCTTTCTGCTCTTCTTTAACATATCGAGATTTCAATTTAACTACCAAATCTTATTTTCTTTTTTATGACATTTCTTTCTCTTCTTATTCTCTCATTTTTTTCTCTCTCAATTATGCAATTATGTCCTAATAATTAAATTTATAATTACTAAATTACGAGTGTGAAAGTCTTTTTTAGTATTTTAATCTTCCATTTAATAATTAAAGTTATATTATATTACTAATACTTTTATTGATAATTGTCAATCATTAAGATTTCAAAATGAACATTATAAATTAAGTTTATTTTTGAATTCTAGATGAATAATTACTGAATATTGAATACTTTCTACTATATATCAAAATTCAAAGGTAGATTATAAAGAGTAATAAAAAGATCCTAATAATTTTTGGATTAAATAAAAAGTAAGAGATTTTAAGATAAAATTAAGTGAGATCTATTGGGTTTTAATGATATTATAATTATTTTATAATTATTACAGAAAATTACATCTAAGAAATTTCTTTAAAAATAAGAGAAGTTTGGATCAGAAATCTCACCAAAAGTATTAGAAAGTTAATTAATCGACAAGTATGTTTATGCTTGAATAAAACAATATAATCTTAATTGTAAGAACTAATTAACATAAAGAACTTAATGTTATTAATTAGTGAATCCTTTCAATAAAGCATATTTAGATATCTAGAATTAACAAGAGAATGCTAAATAATAAATGTAATTTTTTTGATCAAAATATTTGTAAATTAACATGAATTTTATAATACTTATAAAAGAATTGAATGAACAATTCATCCTTAGAAATTATTTTAAAAATAGTTGGAACATACAAAATTATAAGATTATAAAACTAAGTGATTAGAAGAAAGCTTTATCTAAGCTTTTGAATATAGTTTACATATTAAATATATAAAAAATATAAAAAGAGGAATTAAAATTACAATAAATCCAGATAAAATTTATTAATATATATCTAATAATAACATATTTGATTGAAATAGTTTCCAATCAAATATTTTCTTTTGATTCTTACGAGAAATGGGTAGGAGACTTATAGATTTGGAAAATTAGATAAATGAAAATATATTTTGTTCTTATTTATCATAATCATGCTTGATTTGGGTATTCTTTTTGAACAACAGTTTTGAATTCATCCCAACTTAATGATCCATCTTTATCTTTATCAGCATATTCAACCATTTCTCTTAACTCTTGATCTGTATATCTTTCTGATACCAAATCATTTATTCTCTTGAAATCCTCGTAAGTTACTTTACCTTATCCAGAGGAATCGAATTCCTAATATAACTTCTCAAGCACTTATTCATCTTCTATTGTGCTATTTTATTATAAAATAAGTTAAATACCCTGAGAATCCAAATATATTAAGAAATTCATCAAAATCAATTACGCTAGATCCATCTTAATCAAGATCTTGAATCATGTTCACTATTTCTTCTGCTGATTATTCCATTCCTAATGCTATAATGGCATTTTTCATCTCATTTGGACTAAATTAAGATACAAATTATACGAAATAGATCCGCTCTTGTCATCATCAAAAATATCAAAGCATTCCTTTATTTTTAATACTTCTTCCTTACTAAGTCCTGGCTTAACATATTTGGATGCATCAAATCCACTTGCTTGTGGCTGAACAGGTTATTAAGCTGGAGCAGGAGCTTTGCCTTTAGCAGGTGCAGGTGCTGGAGCAGGAGGTTGATTTTTAGATGTTTATTATGTTGGTTAAGCTGCTGACTATTATCTGGATTGATTTCTACTCATTTATTTTAAAAATAAAATTAAGGATACACAAACTATTCACTATTATATAATTATTTTAAGAATCCTTATATTTATATTATCATTTATTAACCATTTTATTACTCATTTATTTGAGTTCAATTCTTAATTTCCATTTAGAGTTATTCTTTATTCACAATCATATTATTGACTTTTTGTCTAATAAATCAAGAAAAAGAAAACATTATAACCGAATGTTAAGAGAAAAGAACTTATATGATTCAACTCCTATTATGAATATTCTAGTATAATAGTATCATTTACATATCTAGAAAATAGATTTTAAATCAAATAATAATTCATTTACTTTTTACTTATGATAAAATATATGATTATTTTAATTTATATCATAATATAATATGAAAATATTAAATAATTTTGTATATTCAAAAATAATTAAAAATTGCCATTCGATCTTCAGCCTTAGCAATGGCATAAAACTAATTATATAATAGGAGAATGAAATTAGAATGTGAAATAATAAAAGTATCAAATGAAATAAGTGATGTGAATTTGTAAGATCCATTATATAAAATGCCTCCTGCAGGTGTTTTTACAAAACAATTAGAATAATATTTGTAATTTATATCAATCAAATTATGGACTGAGTAAAAGGGAGATGTTGCAGTTAATTCTTTAAAGGATCTACCTATTATAATAGATACTTAATTGTATTTAGCTGCATATACAAAATTTGAATAAAGAGGAGATGTAGTGTTATTAAATAACAAATATAATTATAAGAATTTGGGTGAATTACCAAATAGATTTAAGATTGGTACATCATCACTTAGAAGAATTTCAATAATTAAAAATAGATATCCTAAATTAAATTTAATAAATATTAGAGGAAATCTAAATACACGTATCTTAAAACTAGATTAAGGATAATATGATGAATAATTCTAGCAAAAGCTGGTATTTTAAGATTAGGTTTGGCTGATAGAGAGAAAGAGTTCCTTTATACACCAGCATAAGCAGCCTTAGGAATTTAATGCAGAAAGGATGATAAGGATACAATAGAAAGATTATAAATTTGAAATGATACAGATTCATAAAAGAGATGTGTAGCTGAATGAATGTTCTTAAATTAATTAGAAGGTGGATGCAGATTATTAATTGCAGTATATAGTGAGTGTAGAGAAGATGGTTAAGTATATATTAATGGAAGAGTATTGGCTGTTTATGGTACTAAAACTATTAAGGATGAGGCAATAGATCATTTTGAGAAAGTAGGATAGATATTATTTGATAACATAAAGGTTCTTGGTGGAATTGAATTAATTGAAAGCTTAAAATAATAAAAATGAGTGTTTTTTTTATAAAATATAGCTTATCTAAATATGACTCATTTAAACTTATTGGAATATGGACTGATTTTATTCATTGTAAAGTAATCATTAGCATAGTTTGTTTCTTTGCATAATTTTCTTGGGTATGTGAATTTTGAAGGAGATAGGCTATGAGAATTCTAAAAGGATAATAGTATATATATTACAACTGAATGCCATCCTAATTCTTGATTTGAAGTCTATGGGAATTAATATTTCTAACGAGGAGTTCTATTCATTGTATTTAATTTATCAATAATATCCTCTAATCTATAAAAACTATTGAATTACTTTCTAAAGGTGGTGAATCATCTGTTATTTAATTAACATCAAATGCTGGCTTTTATACAGCACCTGTTTTTTCAAGATGCTTCTATAACATTATACTATTATTAGGTTTTTCTTGGATTATGTATACTAATTGAATAACTGTTGCATATACATTTGTGAGGATTAATTGTAAAATGTTCGTACACCTTGAGATGTTAATTCTCTTTTCTTACAGCTTCCTACCATATTTTCATTTCCTAATATTTTATATAATGTGGTTACAGCAACAGGACTACGATCTCTCTTGTTATTTTTACCACTCTCTTGCTTAGCCATTATATTTTATTAATAATGAAAAAGATTAATGTTTTCGTAGTTCCTATTCATGGAACAGTACTCTATCCATATTAGAACTTAAAACTCAGACTAACAGAATTGTAATTCTATGATGCCAAAGTGAATAATAATTATGTTGCTATTGTACCAGTAGTTGACCAATAAATTGATGGGATTTAAAGAATTCAGAGATTTAGTCAATATGGTACATTAGTAAGACTTACAAGTGAAGATTATACGTAATAATTTGATCAAATAATATAGAGTGTATGCTTCTAATAAAATTTACTAAGCATTTTCATTTGCTAGAATCAAAATAGATTCTATAATTAAATCTACTCCATATTATATGGTATCAGCAGAAGTTTTAGGAGATGAAATTATTGATGAATAAACATTATGGAGTAGTTAAATAATAGACAATTTAAAGAATCTAGCAAAAGTAAGAATGTTGGATATTTTTTTTAGTAATATTTAGAGTAATTCTAAATGAATCCAAGTCCACAATTTTTATAAATCATACAAGAAGAAAAGAACATAAATAAATTGTTCTTTATTATAGCCTCTAATGCTGATTTACCTTATAGTTAGAAACTCAAATTATTATAAATCGATGACCACTAAACAAAGATCAATTTATTAATTCAATATTTAAAAACTAAGGTTGAAGAATTTGCTTAAACAAAAGCTTTAGAATAAAAAGTATCTAAAGATCTCATGCAATAAATGTCTAAATAGATTAATAAACCTACTAATCTACCTAATAATCTTCCAATCCCATATTAAAAATAAAAAAATAATGATATTGAAAAATTATAAGCAAAAATTAAAGAAGCCAATCTACCAGATCATGTTAGAGAGATTGTAGAATAAGAAATGTAAAAAATTGAAAAAGGATCTATGGGAGTAGATTCAAATGTAACAAGGAATTATATTGATTTAATACTTTAATTACCATGGAATTAATAAGTTGAAGAAACATTGAGTATTGAAAAATGTAAAGAAACACTTGATGCAGATCATTTTGGATTAACTAAAGTTAAGGAGAGAATATTATAATTTTTGGCTGTGAAGAAATTAAGAAAAGAAAGAAAAATAGCTGATTCTAATGGTTAAGGATCAATTATATGTTTTTTTGGTCCTCCTGGAGTTGGTAAAACTTCGCTTGGTCAAAGTATTGCTAAATCTTTAAATCGTCCTTTTTATAGAATTGCCTTAGGTGGAGTATCTGATGAAGCATAAATAAGAGGTCATAGACGTACCTATGTTGGTGCATTTCCAGGATCCTTTATTTAAGCTATAAAGAAAGTGAAATGCAAAAATCCAGTTATTTTATTGGATGAGATTGATAAATTAACATCTAATCATAGAGGAGATCCTAGTTCTGCTTTATTAGAAGTATTAGATCCTGAATAAAATAATCATTTTATGGATAATTATTTGAATATTGAATTTGATTTAAGCAGTGTATTATTTATAGCAACAGCTAATTAATTAGAAACTATTCAACCAGCATTAAGAGATCGTTTAGAATTGATAGAAATTGTTGGTTATACCGTAAAAGAGAAAATAGCTATTGCTAATAACTATCTGATACCTAAATAACTATAAAAAAATGGGTTAGTAAATGAATAAGTTACTATTCCTTCAGAAATTATACATACAATTATAAAATAATATACTAGTGAAGCAGGTGTTAGATAATTAGAAAGAATAATAGCCAAAATTTATAGAAACATTGCTCTAAAATATATAACAGATTAATAAAATTTTAAAACTATTGTTGTAGATTAAGAAAGTTTAATAGAAATCTTAGGTCCATCAATTCATTCAGATAAACATACTACTCCTTTGATATCAATTCCAGGAGTATGCAAAGGATTGGCATGGACTCCAGCTGGAGGAAAAGTGTTAATGATTGAATCAGTGAAAATGGAAGGAAAAGGAAAATTTGAAATTACTGGTATGTTAGGAGATGTAATGAAGGAAAGCGTAAGAACAGCTATTGGTTGGATTAAAGCATATTGGCCATAAATTAAAATATTAAGCAAATCAAGCACAAATATTAATTTTGATGCCCTTGATATTCATGTATATTATTTCTATTATAATAATAGATACATTTTCCAGCTGGTGCAACTCCAAAAGATGGACCATCAGCAGGTGTAGCTATAACAACTGCAATAGTATCATTGCTTACAGGATTGAAGGTTAAAAATAATATAGCAATGACAGGTGAAATTACTTTGACAGGTAGAGTGTTACCAGTAGGAGGTATAAAAGAAAAAATTCTTGGCGCATTTGAGAATGGAATATTTAAGTAGAGATTAAATTAATGTTAGTGTTATAATCCCACATAGAAATAAGGCAAATTTGGTAGATGTTGAAGCTGAAATAAAAGAAAAAATGTCAATTCATTTAGTGAAAACTATAGATTAAGTGCTTCAAATTGCTTTGGAAGGGAATGGTCCCAATTTTAAAATGATTAATTTATCTAATTTGTGAAAGACATTCTTTAATGTCATAATAAAATATATAAATATATCAAAAGTTTTTTATCAAATATATTTTATCTTAGAATAATGGAGTATAAAATCAAGAGATCTTATTTTGGGTAAAACTATATTTAAATAAATGGTTAGAAATAAAAATGGGAAGCATACTCTAAAAAAAGATGACTGGGATGATCAATCTCAGATTCTCATATTGAAATTAGATTACCAGATCTTTGCTGACTAATTATGGATGAAACTTTTAATTATTTTTCTTTACTTTTGAAATAAATAATAAATAATAAAATAATCATCTGATCATTTTATATCATTTTTTTTTTCTTCTATAATTGAAATTTAAATAATTAAAAAAAACTGATTCAATTTCAAATAATAAATATTTAAAGTAGTTAATAGTTTTTTTTAAGTATTAAAAGAATAATGAAAAATAAGGTGAGACATTATGTAAATTTTTTTTTTTAATTACATTACATAATATTAAATAAATTAAAAGAATTCATTATTTAACTTTCTTTTAAGGTTTTTCTGCATCAAAAAATTGAGGAATTCTTTTTTCTTCAACATGACTATTATTTAATGAACCACCTTCATCTTTTATTAATTCTTTATCATATCTATAAAATTCTTTAATAAATGGTTCAGAATAAATTAATGTCATGCTGTTGAATGGTTGATAAAAATCCAATTAATTCTTATGTACTACTGTTCTTTAAGTTGATGTTTTAGAAAAGAGACTCTCGTGATCGTAAATCAATTTTTAAGGAGTATTTGGACTATGATAATTTGTAATTAATTCTCCTTAACAATTATTACCAATATGTTTGGATATGGTATTTGCAGTTATTTCTATAAGTTTCTATCTTAAATCATCAGATTTTGATCTTAATAAAACTTCATTGAATTTTACTAATATATCATAATGAATGTATTATAGTGTTGAACTTTTCTTTAGAATAGCTTCATGAATTTGATTTTTAAGAACTTCTAATTAAGGTGATTTAGTTGATATTAAAAATACCATCATTTAAACTAAATGATGTTCCAATTCAACTTCTATTTATTATGATTTATCATTCAGATATTCCAATAATAATTCAATTGCTTTTACGAAAACTGTACTCTTTATAGAATTACATCTAACCAATAAGGATGACAAATAATAAAGTGAATTAATTTTTTCAGTTTTTGAGAGTGTATTCTATTTGATAATATTAATATATTACAGATCTTATGTTTTAGACTAACTATGAGAGAAATAACTAATTGATTCTTTGTAAGGAATTTGGCAAAGAACAAAAGTATAAAAATACATAGTGAGCCATTCTGTAATATTGATTTTTTAACATAATCTCTTAGAATACTGATTACAACTCTCTAAATATTTTAAATATCAAATCTTCATTAAGTTCTATTTGGAATATACTTTTATTTGCAATTCCTAATTTGGAATCCAAATAATCAAATAAAATAAATAATAAATGATCCACTTTCTTACACATGTCATCTCTATGTTTTTTGTTTAAATGTTATTATAAAGTAGTTTTAATAATGAAATTATTGCATTATGGATCATATTTAATTTCAGAATCAATTTATAAAATTTTAATATAAACCATTTTAAAGATACGAGATCTAAGTTCTGGAATGCGATCACTCAATTTCATACAATTAGTAGCATAAACTCTTTAATGAATTTCACTTTAATTCTTATGTGGAAATAAATCAGAAAGGGTTTCTAATAATTTCTCCTTACTTAATTTATAGATTTAAATTATTTCACAAATAATTTGAATAGCAGCATCAGAATGAATATTATTACTACTTTTAAAATATTTATCTCTATAGATATCATTATACAATCCATCAATTCCTTTTATGTAAGAAATATCCTCTTATGAATTATCCTAAAAATATTGATTAATCTTTTACTTTTTTAATTATATAGAAACATTTTGATTTGTTTTTAGATGGGAAGTATCCATATCCAATATCTAACATGCCTTTCAATTTTTCATCAGCTTTTGGATGATGAATCAATATTTCTTTAATAAATTATTTGTGAGATTCTGACAGTTTAACAATCTAATTTTCAGCAGTCAATTGATAGGCTTCAGTCATTATTAAAATCTGCTATTACAATGCCGCTTTACTAGGATAAGATTGGCCCATCACTTCACATGGAATATCATCTCTTGTCTATTCTGAATCGATTAGCCTGAATAGTTAAATAGTGCATGTACATTTGAAGACTCAACTTTTATACCAAAAAACGATAGATAGTAACAAGTTAAGAAGGAGACATAGACAGAATAGTGAACAAAATCTTTTTGAATTATGGTAAGACTTAGAAATGATTGTCAGAAGTGAACCATGGTATTTTATACAATACTATATCGATGACCATTTTGGCATCATTGCCATTGCGTTGCAATTATAGCAACAGCCGATTAAATAATTCAACCCACAAACAAATTTATGGTATGTCTTTATTCTTTCGGCAAACTTCTTCAATAATTTTATTCATTGAATTTGTTATTCCCTATTAAAATATATAAGAAACAATACTTTTTATGCATCTGCATATGATTTTTGTAAGTATATGAATAACTACTCCTCTTTCTTTGCATCCTCTGGTCTCTTTTACATACTTTATTTAATTAATATAATTTAAAAAAAATAAAAATGTTTTATATCATTTAATCTTTCAACCATTTATGTTAATATCTAGCAATTTAAAATAATATTTAAAATTCAATTGCTATTTTAAACCATCAGTTAGAGTAAATTTAATTGAATTTCATACTCAAATAGAATTCTACAATTATTAAGTAATATTAAATAAGCAAATTATCTAAATAAATCATTATTAATATAATTAATAATAAGTCTAATTATCTAATTTTAATTAAATATCAATATAAAGGGTATATTCAAATATTTATAATTATTTTTCTTATCTATATAATTAACATAATATTAATTTAATATATTAAAAAAGATTCAATTAATTGAATAATATGTATTTTATTTAGATAAACTAAAATACTATATTGTATTTTTCAAACTAATTTTCTATAGATTTTTCTATGATTAATTTATTAAAGAATATATTTTTATACTATAATTATATTTAAATAATCTTGTATTAAGATAACATTTTAATCTAAAAGAGGGAATTTAGAATTTAAAGATAGTGAATATATTTAATTGATGAATTTATTTTTATTCCAATTTTAAAGATAATAAAAACATAATTTATATTATTATATAAGTTTGAATCAGATGTAAAGTAAATTTAATATTTTAAAGTGTTAGATTACAGATTGATAACAAAGAAGGGAGAGGGCACTTTTTCAGAGGTTATTAAAGCTTAATCAATAAAAACTAATTAATTGGTTGCAATAAAATGCATGAAGCAAGTTTTTCAAACAATTGACTAAGTATTATATTTAATTCTAATATTGGTTAACAAACTCAAAGAAATTCAAGCATTAAGAAAGTTATAAAATCATGAACATATTATTAAATTAATTGAAGTATTATAGTAAAATATCATTTCATAATAATTAGTGATGAACCTACTGGAAGATTGGCATTGGTTTTCGAATTGATGGAACAAAATCTGTATGAACATATTAAAGGTAAGAGATTACAATACATATATTTAGGTAGAAAAATACCATTAAAATAAGAGAAGATTAGGAGTTATACATATCAATTGCTCAAAGCTATTGATTTTATGCACTCGAATAATATTTTTCATAGAGATATTAAACCGTAAGATTTGAATTGATTGGTTTTAGTGAAAATATCTTGTTGCTAGGAGATCATCTTAAATTGGCTGATTTAGGTTCGTGTAAAGGAATTTACTCAAAACATCCATATACAGAATATATTTCAACAAGATGGTATAGATCACCAGAATGCTTAATGACTGATGGTTATTATGATAGTAAAATGGATATTTGGGGTGCTGGTTGTGTATTATTTGAGATTACAGCATTATTTCCATTGTTTCCAGGAAGTAATGAATTGGACCAAGTACATCGAATACACAATATATTGGGAACACCCAATCCTAAAGTTCTTGATAGGTTTAGAAAGCATGCAACTCATATGGAAATCAATTTCCCTTATAAAGTTGGCACTGGTTTGGATAATTTAATACCACATGCTCCTAAAGATCTAGTGGATTTAATTAAACAAATGTTAGTTTATGATCCAGAAGAACGTATAAATGCTAAACAAGCTTTAAGACATCCTTACTTTAAAGAATTTAGAGATCAAGAATAATAAAAATTATTAGAAACAAGTTTATAATCAATAAAACTTTTAAAAAAAAAGTAATAATATTTAAAATAAATAAGTGATGATTCTTTAACAGAAGAAGAATAAAATACTTCCCATATACTACATAAAAAGACATTATTCAATTAAACAAATAAAATTTTATAAAATTCTTTTAAAAATAAGAATTTACATCTATTAGATTCTGTGAAATTGCCAACTTTAACAAAAAAATAAGCAGATTTAAAAAAAGCTTATGGTCCTGCAAATTTTTAGTGTAAATATTGTTATTAATAATTAGCTACAAAGAAAAAATCTATTTAATATGAATATGTATTATATGGAAAAAAAGCAAACTTAGGTAATTTTCTAAATACTCTCAGACATAAATGATTATTGCATTCTGATTTATTTTTTATTTTAATATATTTATCATTGAAGATTTCTTTTATTTACTCATTCTTTATAAAGATTTACTTAATCATTAATATTCAAATTTATTATTTGAATAATAATTGCTAAATATAATATAAATAACTTTTTAGATTAAACATCAATTATATTTTAGAATCTATTTTAGTATTTGTATAAAATCTAATTTTTATAATTATATTTCAATCTTTTGTTTTAAAAATATAAAACATATATAAAATATTCAAAATTGAAGTTCTTGATATTTAGTAATTGTGAAAGAAGGAAGCATTG